ACCTATAATTTGTCATTTTCCTGTCTTCCCTTCAATGACTCCTGAATACCAGGTATTCAGGCTTGGTGTGGTGGCTCACACCTATATTCTTAGCACTCTGGGAGGCCACGGCAGGAGGATCCCTTGAGCTTGGAAGCTCAAGATCAGCCTGAGCAAGAGCAAGACCCCCATCTCTACTAAAAATAAAAAAATTATCTGGGCATTATGGTGGCGGCCTGGAGTCCCAGCTACTGGGGAAGCTGAGACAAGAGGATTGCTTCACCCAAGAGTTTGAGGTTGCTGTGAGCTAGGCTAATACCACAGTGTTCTAGGCCAGACAACAGAGTGAGACTGTCTTAAAAAAAACAAAACAAAACAAAAAGACAAGTATTTGAATTCCTCATCATTTTGAATGGCATACACAGTCATTCAAAATCCACCTTTGACTTTTCCAACTACTTTCCTATTTCCCCAATGTGCGACTCTGGCAATATTGTGTTCGTATGGTTCCTTAATCACTCCACTCTATTTCAAAACTCAGTGCTCTAGCCTAAGCTGTTTTCTCTGCCTCAAATGTCATTCCCCCTTTTGTCTATTAAGTAAAATTCAATGATTTTTTAAATTATTATGCATGAAAATTAAGAATTATAATATAGTCCAGGCGCAGTGGCTCACGCCTGTAATCCCAGTACTTGAGAGACAAAGGTGGGTGGATTGCCTGAGCTCACAGGTTCAAGACCAGCTTGAGCCAGAGTGAGACCTCATCTCTAAAAATAGCTGGGCATTGTGGCAAGCACCTGTAGCCTTGTTACTAGGGAAGCGGAGGCAAGAGAATCCCTTAAGCTTAAGAATTTGAGGTTGCTGTGAGTTATAACGTCATGGTACTCTACCGAGGGTAACAAAATAAAACTCTGTCTCCAAAAAAAAAAAAAAAAAGGGCAGCACCTGCAGCTCAGTGGTTAGGGTGCCAGCCCCATATACTGAGGGTGGCCCCGCAAAAGTTCAAGCTCGGTCCCAGCAAAACTGCAACAAAAAAATAGCTGGGCGTTTTGGCAAGTGCCTGTAGTCCCAGCTACTCGGGAGGATGAGGCAAGAGAATCGCCTAAGCCCAGGAGTTGGAGGTTGCTGTAAGCTGTGTGACACCACAGCACTCTAGCAAGGGTGATAAAGTGAGATTCTGTCTCTACAAAAAAAAAAAAAGAAAGAAAGAAAAGAATTATAATACAACAAGCAATGAGACGAATAAATCACATGAATGATGAAGGTAAGTTTGTCAGACGAATGGTCAGTCTGTAAAAGTGAAATAGTACAAGAGATGACAGGTAAAGCAACTCCTGGAGTAGGGAATGAAGTAATGGATGTGTGTCTTGGATCAGTGTGAGAGATGTGCTGTGATTACTCCAGCCCTCACTCCAGGATGGAACTGAAGGAGAAACACAATCCTGGAAGCCTACAGAAACACAATCTTGGGAACTTCCTCTTACTATTACCAAAATGCAAAATACCAAGACAACATGACTTTTCTGAAGGAAATCTCTCTTCCGAATGCTTTGCCCCTAGTCTTAAAAGGAAACATAGCTCTCCTCTCTTATAAAGCCAACTTAAGCGTCTGGGTCAAGCTGAACCCTGGTGGAGCTAATGAGCTACTGCACACCCAAAAATGTGGATAAAAAACCCCTCTCCTTTTATAATCATTTATTTATTCATTCATTCAAAATCAATGAGTGCATATTCTGCAGTAAGGTGAATACTGAGGCCTTGGGGGAACAGAGAATACAAGACTTAATCCCCCCCCCCTTTTTTTTAGAGACAAGAGTCTCACTTTATCACCCTTGGTAGACCAGCTCTTAGGCTTAGGTGATTCTCTTGCCTCCACCTCCTGAGTATCTGGGACTACAGGCGCCCGCCACAAGGGCTGGCTATTTTTTTGTTGCAGTTTGGCTGGGTCAGGTTTGAACCCACCACTATCGGTATATGGGGCTGGTGCCCTATTCACTGAGCCACAGGTGCCGCCCTTAATCCCCATTCTTGAGCATACTCAACCTAATGAGTGAGATAGGTAGATATCTGTTTGTTTTATTTTTTTGAAGCACAGTCTCACTTAGAATGTATCAGCCAGGTGGTGCCTCTGGCTCAGTAGGTAGGGCGCCAGCCCCATATACCAAGGGTGGCGGGTTCAAGCCCAGCCCCAGCCAAATTGCAACAAAAAAATAGCCGGGCATTGTGGCAGGTGCCTGTAGTCCCAGCTACTTGGGAGGCTGAGGCAAGAGAATCGCCTAAGTCCAGGAGTTGGAGGTTGCTGTGAGCAGTGTGATGCCACGGCACTCTACTGAGGGCAATAAAGTGAGATTCTGTCTCTACAAAAAAAAAAAAAAATAAATAAACAAAAAAATAGAATGCATCAGCCTAGTTCACAGCAACCTCAAACTCTGGGTTCAAGTAATCTCCCTGCTTCAGCCTTGAAAGTAGCTGGGAGTACAGGTGTCTACAACAATGCTGGGCTAATTTTTCTATTTATTTATTTTTTTTGAGACAGAGTCTCATTTTGTCACCCTTGGTAGAGTGTCATGGAATCATAACTCACAGCAACCTCAAACTCTTGGGCTCAAGCGATCCCCTTGCCTCAGCTTCCTGAGTAGTTGGGACTACAGGTGTAATTTCTCTATTTTTTTTTTTTTTTGAGACATCATCTCACTATGTCACCCTGGTAGAGAGCCGTGGCATCACAGTTCACAGAAACCTCAAACTCCTGGGCTTAAGCGATTTTCTTGCCTCAGCCTTCCAAGTACCTGGTACTACAGACGCCGCCACAATGCCTGGCTATTTTTTGCTGCAGTTGTCATTGCTGGTGAGCTGGCGCAGGCTGGGTTTGAACCCACCAACTTCGGTGTATGTGGCTGGCACTGTAACCACTGTACTACGGGTGCCAAGCCTAATTTCTGTATTTTTATTTTTTATTTATTTACTTATTTTTTTTTTTTGGTAGAGACAAAGTCTCACTTTATCGCCCCCAGTAGAGTGCTGTGGTGTCACACAGTTCACAGCAACCTCCAACTCCTGGGCTTAGGCGATTCTCTTGCCTCAGCCTCCCAAGTAGCTGGGACTATAGG